AGGAACGTAAAGGACCTCTTCAAGGAGAACTACAAACCACTGCTCAACGAAATAAGAGAGGACACAAACAGATGGAGAAACATTCCATGTTCATGGTTAGGAAGAATCAATATCATGAAAATGGCCATACTGCCCAAAGTAATTTACAGATTCAGTGTTATCCCCATCAAGCTACCAATGATCTTCTTCACAGAACTAGAAAAAATCACCTTAAACTTCATATGGAACCAAAAGAGAGCACCAAAAGCATTGGCAACAAAAGCCAAAATAGACAAATGGGACCTAATTAAACTCCACAGCTTCTGCATGGCAAAAGAAACAGTCATTAGAGTGAATCAGCAACCAACAGAATGGGAAAAAACTTTTGCAGTCTACCCATCTGACAAGGGGCTGATATCCAGAATCTAGAAAGAACTAAAACAGATTTACAAGAAAAAAACAAACAAGCCCATTCAAAAGTGGGCGAAGAATATGAACAGACACTTTACAAAAGAAGACATACATGAGGCCAACAAACATATGAAAAAGTGCTCATCATCATTGGTCATTAGAGAAATGCAAATCAAAACTACATTGAGATACCATCTCACGCCAGGTAGAATGGCGATCATTAAAAAATCTGGAGACCACAGATGCTGGAGAGGATGTGGAGAAATAAGAACACGTTTACACTGTTGGTGGGAGTGTAAATTAGTTCAACCATTGTGGAAGACAGTGTGGCGATTACTCAAGGACATAGAAATAGCAATTCCATGTGACCCAGCAATCCCATTACTGGATATATATCCAAAGGATTATAAATCGTTCTACTACAAGGACACATGCACACGAATGTTCATTGCAGCACTGTTTACAATAGCAAAGACCTGGAACTAACCAAAATGCACATCAATGATAGACTGGACAGGGAAAATGTGCTACATATACACCATGGAATATTATGCAGCCATCAAAAATGATGAGTTCGTGTCCTTTGTACGGACATGGATGAACCTGGAAACCATCATTCTCAGCAATCTGACACAAGAACAGAAAATCAAACTCCGCATGTTCTCACTTATAGGTGGATGTTGAACAATGAGAACACTTGGACACAGGGAGGGGAGCATCACACACTGGGGTCTGTTGGGGGGAAATAGGGGAGGGATAGCAGGGGGTGGGGAGTTGGGAAGAGATAGCTTGGAGAGAAATGCCAGATATAGGTGATGGGGAGGAAGGCAGCAAATCACACTGCCATGTGTGTACCTATGCAACAATCTTGCATGTTTTTCACATGTACCCCAAAACCTAAAATGCAATAAAAAACCAGCACAAGACAAGAATGCCCTCTCTCACACTCCTATTCTATATAATATTGTAAGTTGTGGCCAGAGCAATCAGGCAAGAGAAAGAAATAAAGGGTATTCAATTAGGAAAAGAGAAAGTAAAATCGTCTATGCAGATAACATGATTTTATATTTAGAAAACCCCATGATCTCAGCCCAAAATCTCCTTAAGCTGATAGGCAACATCAGCAAAGTCCCAGGATAAAAAAAAATCAATATACAGGCCAGGTGCAGTGGCTCACTTCTGTAATCCCAGCACTTTGAGGGACCTAGGTGGGTGGATCGCCTGAGGTCAGGAGTTAGAGACCAGCCTGACCAACATAGTGAAACCCCATCTCTACTAAAAATACAAAAAATTAGCTGGGCATGGTGACACATGCCTATAATCTCAGCTACTCAGGAGGCTGAGGCAGGAGAATTGCTTGAACCCTGGAGGTGGAGGTTGCAGTGAGCCAAGATCACGCCATGGCACTCCAGCCTGGGCAACAAGAGTGAGACTGTCGCAAACAAACAGAAAAAAGAATCAATATGCAATAATCACCAGTAATCACAGGCATTCCTATACACCAATAATAGACAAAGAGCCAAATCATGAGTGAATTTCCATTCACAATTGCTACAAAAAGAATAAAATATCAAGGAATACAACTTACATGGGATGTGAATGACCTCTTCAAGGATAACTACAAACCACTGCTCAAGGAAATAAGAGAGGACACAAATAAATGGAAAAACATTCCATGCTCATGGTTAGGAAGAATCAATATCAAGAAAATGGCCACACTGCCCAAAGTAATTTATAGATTCAATGCTATCCCCATCAAGATACCAATGACTTCCTTCACAGAATTGGAAAAAACTACTTTAAATTTCATATGGAACAAAAAAAGAGCCCACATAATCATATAATCCTAACCAAAAAGAACAAAGGTAGAAGCATCATGCTATCTGATTTTAAACTATACTACAAGGCTATAGTAACAAAAGCAGCATGGTACTGATCCCAAAACAGATATATAGACCAATGGAACAGAACAGAGGCCTCAGAAATAACACCACACATCTAAAACCGTCTGCTCTTTGACAAACCTGATAAAAACAAGCAATGAGGAAAGGATTCCTCATTTAATAAATGGTGTTAGAAAACTGGTTAACTATATGCAGAAAGATTTGGACTATCCCAAATGTTACCAATGATAGACTGGATAAAGAAAATGTGGCATACGTATACCATTTGGCACATATACACCATGGAATACCATGCAGCCGCAAAAAAGGATGTGTTCATGTCCTTTGCAGGGACATGGATACAGTTGAAAACCATCATTCTCAGCAAACTAACACAAGAATAGAAAACCAGACACCATATGTTCTTACTCATAAGAGGGAGTTCAACAATGAGAACCCATGGACACAGGGAGGGGAGCATCACACACTGGGGCCTGTTGGGGGTTGGGGGGGCAGGGGAAGGACAGCATTAGGAGACATACCTAATGTAGAGATGATGGGTTTATAAGTGCAGCAAACCACCATGGCACGTATATACCTATGTGACAAATGTGCACATGTACCCCAGAACTTAAAGCATAATAAAAATAAAAATAAAAATAAACAAATAAAACAAAACAAAACCCATCAAAACAAAGAAACAAAAAACAGCCAGAAGTGGTGGTATACACCTGTAGTCCCAGCTACTCAGGAAGCCAAAGGAAGATTGCTTGAGCCTTAGAGGTCAAAACTGCAGTGAGCCTGGATAACAGAGTGAGAACAAGAAAAAGATAGAAAGATAGACCTTGCCCATGTTTTTAAAATTGCCTTTTTGTAATAACTTAAAAATAAAAAAGAATTCTGTTTGTTTCAATCCTGAATGATTGTTAAATCACAAAACAAAAATCTATAGCTCTTCAGATGGTAGAACTTTCTCATTTAATGTGTTAATACCATTAAATACATTAATATATAACCTAACAGTAAATAGACTTTGCATTATTGGGATAAATTTTATGTGTGAAATGCAGCCATATTCTGCTTTATCTCAACCTGTTATAAATCATTGGGAATTAACAATTAGCACCACCCTTTTTCAAGTTTTCTTTCCCCCTTCTGTCCTTTTGAAAGAGCTTCAAGAGGTGCCTAAGAATTTCTGTGGGGTCTCCAGAGCCTTTACCTGCATCTGCATCATGGCTTCTTTTCTGGTGCAAATCCCACAATTGAAATTATTACTTTTTTGTGTTTTTTTGTTTTGTTTTGTTTTGTTTTGTTTTTTTGAGATGGAGTCTGACTCTGTCACCCAGGTTGGAGTGCAGTGGCGCTATCTCAGCTCACTGCAACCTCCACCTCCCAGGTTCAAGGGATCCTCCTGCCTCAGCTTCCTGAGTGGCTGGGACTACAGGCACACACCACCACACCTGGCTAAGTTTTTGTATTTTTAGTAGAGATTGAGTTTCACCACATTGGCCAGGGTGGTTTCCATCTATTGACCTGGTGACCCACACACCTCAGCCTCCCAAAGTGCTGGGATTACAGGTGTGAGCCACTGCACCTGGCCCCACCACTGAAATCTTTCGTGAGATTCCTGACCCATTCAGCATTTGTAGACGGTAAGTACTACTTTAGCTTCCTATTGTCCTGCTGCCTTTATGCTCATGGCTTCCTATCCCTCTATTCTTTGATCCCAGACCACTCAAGGCTCCTTTCAACATGAAGTTCCCCATGTTCACCACTGTCCCTATGCTCCTTCTGGGCCAGTCAAAATGCACCCAGCCTCCAAATGATGATTCTAGCCCTCTGAAAGAAGATGTCGGTTTTTCTGGTGGTAGAGAAGCAGCTTCTCGTTCTCTGTATTTTAGTCTTTTGATAAAATTTCACCAAAAATAAAAATATTAATAAAATATTGTGTGCTTAAGAATTAAAGGTCTTTTAGGGCTTATACACATTCTTCCTTACATACAAAACTCTCTAGGCTTTCTGGGTAATAGGTGGGTCAAGTTTTTTCCTTGAACTATCAGATGCTATCATTTAGTCTGATTCATGGAGAGCTCCCTTTGCTTGGTCTATTTGTGATTTGTTTCTGTCACTCAATTCCACCCATGCAGTTATTGAGAAGGTCTATCTTATCCCAGACAATAAGCTCTGTGAGAGTGGAAACCATGCATACATCTTCTTTTGTGCATAGATCTTCCTATTTATCAAACAGACTCCTATTTTTATACCAAGTATATATACTGTTCAAGATCTTTCTAAGGTGCCTGCATGGCCATATTATTGTTTGTGTATCACTGAAAGTCCCCTGAGGAAAGAAAGAGGTTACCTAACTCAAATTGCCAAGCATATCTGACTTCATCTCCTACCCTGCCAGGGAATCATGTTATGCCATATGAAATTCAGTGAAGAGTGTGCGTGTGTGTGTGTGTGTGTGTGTGTGTGAGAGAGAGAGAGACAGAGACAGAGACAGAGAGTTGATGAGAAATGGATAGCAGCAGCAGAAATAAGTTGAACATACAATCAAATCTAGTATATTAAAATAAAATATTATTTTTAAATTACAAGCTCTCAGCTGGGGATGATTTTATCCCTAGAGGATTTTGAGCAATATCTGGAGATGCTTTTTACATTCATGACTGGAAGGGTGCTACTGGCTTCTGGTGAGTAGAAATAAAGAACGTTGCTAAACATTATGAAGCACAGAACAGTTCCCACAACAAAGGCCTATTCACTCAAAATATCATTGGTATCAGGGTTGAGCAACCCTGCTCTAGGTGAATCCTGGACGTTCTCACACATCCTGCAAATTTATATTCCTCAAATATAAATGGAACATTAATGATACACCGCACATAGGAAGATATATGCATGGTTCTCACTCTCACAGAGCTTATCGTTCGGGATGAGATCAACCCTCTCAATAATTCAGTGGGATTAAGAATGATGAAAGCTGCAATGGAAGTAGAATACAATATCTATTAAAAAATAAAGGAAGAAATATTCAAGAGTCCTAAATAAGAGTTAAATAGTATTTTATCCACTATTTGTATCAATATTTATAGTAAAATCTCATTAACACAATGGTGCTTTATTCAAAATAGCATAGTTCAAAGAAAATTATACTCTTTGGCCAACTAACTATAACATTGTTAGCTAATAAATAGTTGCAATAATCCAAACCACCTCCCCTGCCTTCCCTACCTCTCCACCTCTCCCCTCCCCATGCCATTCCATGCCTTTGTCCTCAGAATGTGGAATTAGTTTTTAGACCTAATGCAGAGAAAATAATTTCTGTTTTAGACTGGAAAATATGTTTTTTGCAAATCCAAGCTATAAGGCTATAAGATGTTTCTTATTAATCATTTTTCTCCTCCTTTATCTGCAGGAAAAAATTCTCTCTCTTCTTTTTCATCCCCTCTCTCTCTCCTTCTCTCTCTCTCTCAAAAGCTCTTACAATGTCATTAGCATCTGTTTACATTGGCAATAAATAAAAGGCACCTGCAGGGATGAAAATACCTGATACGTTTTCGAACTTTATGACTTTTCTCCTAGTATTTGATCATCATAATATGTACTTTCTGCTATGATCCAATTAATCGTAAACACAATACCAGGCATGGAGACTGTTTGGTTTTAATTTACTAGTTTATAACTAGTGGTATTTTCTCTTTGGGTATGGCTCTGCACCAATAAATTATTTGGTAGCAGTTATCTCTTAAAATGCGTCCAAATGCTTTTCACTTGCTTCTTGAATTCCAAGTAAGTCTTCAGTTGAGATATTCCTAAGAACTTATTTTAATGTTCGTTTTGTTTCTTCCTCTAACAGAGAGATATATGTATGATTTTTTTTTTTTTTTTTGCTTGCAGTGTGTTGGGAGCTTCCCTGACCAAAAATAACTCCATTTGTATAAAATTTGATAGTATCTCATTCCTTTGCGAATTAAAAAATACAAGTTTAAAATTCAAAACTTCCTGATAATATCAAATTTATCAGGTAAGCTGTTAAAAATCACAATTTAAATGAGTCGACTTTGTGGGGAGTTGGAAACTAGATTAAGTATTGTAAATCTTAGATGTGTGGGCCACAGACATTGCTGCTTCAATAAACAGATGAATCTGTAAGAGTCAATGGGCTGAAACAGGAATAACCAATGGGAGTTTTCTCAACAGTGAGTCCTGTCTTTGATTCTCAGTGTGTCTCTTATCAACTGTATTTCTATAGATTCTTCACTTTTCTAATACCAAGATTCCTTTACTGCGAAAAGAATGATATTCCTACCTTGAAGGGTGATTATGCAAATTAAAAGTAAAGTAATGATAATGACTCTGCTATATTTTATTTTCTGAGCTTTAGCCTGTATCTAATTTTACTTTCATAAACTATTACTGTGTACAAGAAATAGCATTACAGAAAAATTAAATAATTTCCCTTTAGTCTTCAGAGAAGTTAAGAATTAGGATAAAAAACAAATTTGGCCAGGGACAGTGGCTCATGCCTGTAATGCCAGCACTTTGGGAGGCCCAGGTGGACAGATTACTTGAAGTCAGGTACTTCAAGACTAGCCTGGCCAACATGGGAAACCCCGTCTCTTCTAAAAATACAAAAATTAGTTGGGCATGGTGACACACATCTGTAGCCCCAGCTACTCAAGAGGCTGAGTTAGGAGAATCACTTGAAACCAGGAGGCAGGGATTACAGTGAGTCAAGATCATGCCACTGCACTCCAGCCTGGGAAACAGAGTGAGACTATCTCAAAAACAGAAAGAAAAAAAAAAGAGAACAAATTCAAGCAATGGAGATCAGAGCTTATATTTATAATTACTGCATATGTAATAGACACTGAATAAATAGCAGCTATGATTATTGCAAGAAAGTACCAAACCTATTTAAGATGTGTTTAAAATTATCATGGGCAGATTATTCAATGTGATCTAATGGCCTGAAATATTGCAATCAATGTAACCTCTTTTATTCTTGTACATTATGGTTAAATATACTAGAAAACTCTACTATAGGCTTCCGTTTACCCTACAACTGCTATTAACAATAGAATATGTTGACAGCTGAACCTATGTTAGAATGGGTGATTAAAGTGGGTATATTTCTGTTTTCTTGTATGCATTTAGCCTCAGAATGAGTTTCTAAACTAAATTTGGTTTCCTTAATTATCTAAATCAATTGTTTGAATGGCACGATGGCTACACAATAGCAGCACAACTTCACACTTAATTTTAATTAGCTAAACATAAAGTGACTGGGTTGGCAACCGAACAGATGGAAAATTTATAGTATTAAACTCACACTGTCCCAAATGTTGAAGGCCATTAAACAAAAAAGTCTATTCTATTTTCCCCTCTACTCCTGAAAATTAACATATAGATTTCTCCATGAAATGCCTAGCAGACCTTGTTGATCTACCTACATTTTAAATAGTGCATGAACAATGGGGCTTAGGCAAGCTTGCAGCACAATACACAACACCTGTTCACAGACTTAGTAATATAGCAAGCCTATTGTTGTAAGTAATTTCATATCTCTGAGTTTTCAAATAGGTAATGAGCATTGAAATATCTTTATAAGCAGTGCAATGGAAAAAATTTTAAAAAAATTTTAAATGAGGCATTATTGGATGTTGCAGGAAAAGTCTACCATCCAATATTCCAAGAAGTACCATATGATAGTCATTACATTAGTAAATCTGCCAAGAATTAGATACCCGCCCTCATATTTGCTATCTCAGTAATTTATATTTTAGGATCCATGTTTATCAGACAGGGACATATCCTACTAACCAATATCACAGGGACAATATGGTAATTTCATTAATGTGTAGATAAATCATTGTTACTGGAATCAGAATACTCTAGTTCAGAGACTGGCAAACTTTTCTGTAAAAGGTCACATAGATAATAAACATTTTAGGCTTTGCAGGCCACATCATCTGTTGCACCTAGCCAACTCTGCTTTTGTAAATAGGAACACAGCCATTTATAATACATAAACCAATGATCAAGGCTATGTTCCAAATGAACTTTATGAACAAAAAATTGAATTTTGTATGATTTTCATGTGTTACAGAATGCAATAATTGTGGGGGTTCTTTTTTCCAATTATTTCAAAAGGTAACAATGATTCTTAGTTTGTGTCCAAAACCCCCGAAAGAAACAAAAGGTGGGCCTTAGTTTGCCAACCCCGCCTCTAACATAAACTCAAGGAATTCACTTACAAATGAAGTGACCATATAATTTACTAATCAAATCTGAATACTTTAGAGTGAAAAGATGCTCTAAGCTAACGAAAATTGCATACAATATTTTCTTTCTTTCTTCTTTTGAGATAGAGTCTTGCTCTTTTGCCAGGCTGGAGTGCAGTGGCACGATCATGGCTCACTGCAACCTCCGTCTCCCAGATTCAAGCAATTCCCCTGCCTCGGCCTCCTGAGTAGCTGGGACTACAGGCACGTGCCACCATGCCCAGCTAATTTTTTGTATTTTAGTAGAGACGGGGTTTCACCATGGCCAGGATGGTCTTGATCTCCTGACCTCATGATCGGCCTGCCTCAGCCTCCCAAAGTGCTGGGATTACAGGTGTGAGCCACCGCACCTGGCCAATATTTTCTAATAAGTATATTTTTGAAACATTTATAAGACTAAAAAGACAAATAGCAAATAACTAATATCCAAACATCATTTTTATTTTGATCATCTGATTTGTAAAATATAATACACTCAGACTAAATATTGCTTTGTTTTGTTTTGTTTTTTTGAGACAGAGTTTCACTCTTT